CTTTCCCTTCTCTTTCTTTCCCTTCTCTTTCCCATTATTGGAACACTGAGACATGATTTCTAGGTGTATGCTCAGAGCAGTTTAAAACTGCAGTTGGATATTTCTGCAGCTGCTTGTTTGCACTTACACAGTGGTTATGAGGTGGGCTAATCAAATGGTTCACTAAATTTCAGTTGGAAAACCTGTACCAGCAAAATTTGGGCAGTATTTTTTTCTCAGTTAGTGATTGAATCAAGACCTTAGAGGCAGCAGAGCCAGTAGGAGGAAGCATGTGAGAGTGTGGTGAAGAGCCCCCTCCTCTGGGGGAGATGAGGGAGCAGAAAGTTTCTCTTCTGGCGACATGTTTGATTGGTTTAGTCATTTTGTGTAACTTCATCCTGCAGTGGTTGCTACAGTTGTCATTGTCCTCAGATGGCATCATCTACCCCATGTACTGGGATTAGTCTCACGCTTCTTGTTTGCACTCTTAATAGGTGCTTGATGGCAAGGAAGACCTTGAGAAGCAGCATCGAGACAGCATTAAACAACTGAACAGTGTTGTAGAGCGACAAGAAAAGGATCTTACTAAACTTCAGGCAGAAGTGGAAGACCTTGAAGAACGGAACAGAAGTGTTCAAGCAGCACTGGACAGTGCATATAAGTAAGCAGATATTTGTGTGCCTGTCTTCAACCATACATTCAGCTTCTGTGTCTTATTTCTTGTGCAATGCTTGTGAAATGTTAATAGATAACAAAGTTATTCACAAAGTCTTTGTGGGCCCTGTACAAACTGTAAGTGCATTCCTTTTCTTTTTCCTCCCCAGGGAACTTGCAGATCTTCATAAAGCTAATGCTACAAAGGACAGTGAGGCACAAGAAGCAGCCCTAAGTCGGGAAATGAAGGCAAAGGAAGAGCTTGGCTTAGCTCTGGAGAAGGCCCAGGATGAGGCACGGCAGCAACAAGAGGCTTTGGCAATTCAGGTCGGTCTTAAATGCAGCAAATAACTTTTTCACTGAAGAAGTGCACTCAGAGGGGGTGTGCATCTGACTTAATGAACCAGATGCAATGTAAGGTGGAACTCATCTTTGTGTGCTTGGCAGATACCCAGTGGATTTATTTCTGATGAACTTGTTCAGTGATATTTGTGCTAAGCTTTAAAATATTGGTTTTATTTAAAATACTTTTAATTTTACTTGTCTAAAGGAAATGACTTTGACAGACTCTGTTAAGTTTGTAGTGCTCTTTACCATGATGCAGAGTTCAAGAAACTTAATTGGACAAGACTTTTAGGGATAGATGAATGTAACTATTTCTGTGCATGCAAAACTAAAGCCTTTAACTTGTAAACAGACATACCCTGTTTAACAGTGTTTAAAATCGGTATAGGACGATAGCATTGAATAGGTGGCACTGTAACTTTTGGGAAGAGATTAGTGATGGTATCTTGTTTATTTAGGTGGCAGACCTGAGGCTAGCACTGCAACGTGCAGAACAGCAGGCAGCAAGAAAAGAAGACTATTTACGTCAGGAAATCGGTGAACTACAACAGGTGCTATAGCAAACAGATGATCCCAATATTAATCTGCAAGGAGAGCTTCTAAAACCTGGGAATGAAACACTGGCATAACATTAATAGCCTTAAAAGGAGGCTTTTTCTGGTTACCTGAAGTATTTGCCCTATTAATGGAAATATTTTTTTAATCACATATTGCAAACAAAATAATTTTTATTGTAATGCTATCCTTTTAGTATAAGACAAAGTGCAGGCATTAAGTTTGTAATAATCCTCTAAAATTGCTATTGAATATCTTTTTAGTTATTCTTTAGCTGCTGCTTAAGATTATTTTTCTTGTTTTTAAGGTACAGAAGATAGATTGTTGACAAAATGTTTCAAGTGATGTCCAGAGGGCTCTTGAAGTGTAAATTTCTGAGCTGTTGTTCTATCATGTATCTAAAAATGTTAATCTTGAAATTTCACACTTCACTGTGAATTGGAACATAGGACTTTTTAGAATATAGCACAACTACTATGTGTTTAGCTGAATTCTGTATTAATCTTTTAATCCAGCATATAATTTTAAACCTTAATTATATTTAATTTGTGATTTCAGAGACTCCAAGAAGCAGAGGGCAGAAACCAAGAGCTAAGTCAAAGCGTTACATCTGCTACACGGCCACTTCTCCGGCAGATAGAAAATCTGCAAGCCACACTGGGAGCACAGACCTCTGCGTGGGAAAAATTGGAAAAGAACCTTTCTGACAGACTTGGTAAGACTTTTTTAGCTTTTACTGAACAGTGAGACTCTTGATGAAGATGTGAGGTGGCTGAAGATAAACACAAAGGGCTTGACACTTGCCCAAAGTGTAGACGGTGAGTCAGGAGAGATGAGTTCAAAATGCATTTCTGCAAGGAAGTGGAATGTGGGGTGTTCTGCCAAAGTTCTTGGACAGGTAATTCACTGATTCTCTTTAAAACACAGTGTAACATAAGATTGTAAGATTAAGCTTTTAAGGAATACTTGTCCTCACAGCATCTAAAGGAAGGATGGACATTGAGCACTGCGAAGTACAACAGCATTTTCAGTTGTCAAGCCTGGTGCTTAGATTTTGAATTGCAAAGGTTTGAATAATTTACTTACCTAACTGCATAGGTAATGAGACATATATTTATTGATATAGTAGTAATTATTTTAAATGAAAAATGTATAAAATGCCCAAAGGTGGACCCAAAGAAATTACTTATTTTCTGCAGGCAGTCTGTAGTGGTATATTGCAGTCTGAAAGAGTATGAAGTCTCCTTGTTCTGCACTGCTCTAAATGTATGGTGGAAAATATTTAATATCCTTTAAAACAGAAAACAGTTCTGGATTTTTGTGTGGGTGATTTTTTTCTTGATTTTATTTTTTTTGGGGGGAGGGGGCTTAGAAAAAAAATAAATTAGTTGAATCTAAAAAGTTCCATTTGATGCTTAAGTAATGGGTTCATATTATAGATGTTTGATCAAAAGAGTTAAATTACATGTTTTTCTTATACTAGGTGAGTCTCAAACTCTTCTAGCAGCAGCTGCTGAGAGAGAACGGGCTGCTACAGAAGAACTTCTTTCTAATAAAATTCAAATGTCTTCTACTGAGTCTCAGAATAGTCTTTTAAGGCAAGAAAATACACGCCTCCAGGCTCAGCTAGAAGTGGAGAGAAACAGGTTGAAGAAAATGGAAAATGAAAACAGTAGGTGAGTTGCGTTTTTGGTTAACAGTGTCTGTTTAAAATTGTAGTGAAATGGAGTAAGGTGTCTCTTCCATAACCATCTGCAGCAGATATCTTTGCAAGTTGGAAGATTTGATTCTTAAGTGTTGGTATGACTGTGCAAAATGACAACAGCTATTGATAAAGTTTTACCTAACTTGTTAAAGGTATTTTGATTCATGCTAACTATTGTCTGAAGTGTGCCACTTTCACAGTGTTTTAATGCCTTGAAGCTATGTTTGGTTTAAAAGTATATGAATCTGAAGTAAACACAGAATACTTATTTACTGTCTTTCTTTCCCCAATCTAGGTATGAGGTTGAACTAGAAGGACTCAAAGATGAGTATGCAAAAACCTTGGAAGATGCAAAGAAAGAAAAGGTATTGCCTACTTGAGCTTCAAGCTATGTTATCATTGAAGTCTGAGCTAACAGGAGGTTAACAGCTTGTATTTATTTTTGTAGACGCTGCTAGCTACTCAGTTAGAAATGGAGAAGATGAAAGTTGAACAGGAAAGAAAGAAGGCAATTTTTGTGCAAGAAACAGCGAAGGAGAAGGTACCAAAACCTAGCATTTCTGTTCAGTCTTATTGCTGCTATCACTATTTTAGTAGGTATCTAGAACCTGAAACTGTTGCAAGCAACAAAGTGGACTTAGAGCAGCACAGTATATACTGTCAGCTTAGGCTTTAGGGACTTGGCTTTTTCTTTGTTCTGACTACTTTTTATTTCCAGTTAAATAAGTGCTTGTGTGATACTCACTGAAATGAGTCATGGGTAATAGTCTGTGTAACTTGAAAGAGATAAAATATGGATAATGATTGTTTTAATCTTCTGATTTTTTCAATGCTCTTGGATTCTTCTTCTTCTGCAGCTACTTATTTTCTTTGGTTAGACTATTAGCATTGCTTCCACTGAATTCTTGTTCTGTGTTTCACCTCGACTGTATGTTATGTACCACATGCTTTCCAGCTTGAGTCATCAGTCACAGAATAGTCCTCAATAGTCAGGAACTTTGTTACTGCTAATTAGCAGTTGATACTCAAGTAAAACTGTTTTTATTAGTGGTTTCTTACCATTTCCAGTTCTAAAATTTAACTGCTTTATCCTTCAGAGGGTAGCATGCTTTCAGATGCTGCCTGTAAAAAGAGGTCATTCAGTCTGGCAGGTATGTCAGTAAGGTATTAGCTTGTGAGAAACCTCAGAATTGAATTCGTACACTTTATTTAAAAGAAATAAAAGTATTAACATGCATTCTAAACAGAGACTTAGTTCTGGGTTTAGGATATTCTCCCTGTGATACATTTGGGCAAACAAAACTGCCTCTGAATTTCCCTTGGCTACTTGAAAGACGAGTTCTTTTGGTGTAATTTGCAACTTTTTGTCTTTGTTTCTGGAAAAGGCTGAGGTTTTCAATGTAGGCTGGAAGTGTTAGTAGCACAGGAATTCTTTATTGTTGAACTTTCATGTGTTTTAGAGATGGGGGAAGGGGGCAGGTTATCTGTCACGTTGTATTCTGTAGTTGCTGGTGGAAAAGGGCAGTCTGTTCTTTACAGAATCTGTCTTTCACCATCTTATAAACTTTTTTCTTTATCTAACTGGTGATGTTGTGTGTCTTTGGTTTTGTTTGGTTTGGGTTTTGTTTTTTAGGATCGGAAGTCATTTACAGTTGAAACTGTTTCAAGTACTCCAACTATGTCACGCTCTAGTTCTGTAAGTGGAGTTGACATGGCAGGTCTTCAGACATCTTTCCTCTCACAGGTATCATATCAGTTATATTGGCTTTTTTTTGACAGACTGCTTTTTTTCCTCTTCAAGAGCTTTTATTAATGTATAAAATGACTCCTCAAGAGTACCTTGGCCTTAGACAAGGTAATTCCTTTGCAGAAATTTCTAAAACATGCCTACAAGATGTTTGATTGTAAAACATCTATGAAAGACAGAGTGAAACTACAATTTTTATTGCTGATTAATATATACATGTATTGGTGCTGAGTACACATGCCTAATTTCATCTAGAAGAATTAAGTAACACTAGTAGGAGTCAAATCAATTGATTTATTTTTACTAGCAGTCCTGGTTTAGGGCACAACTCTGCTCCCTGGGCAGAGTCATTGACTGTTATGGTCTGTGCAAAGTCTACTGCTTCTGCTGCTTTCTTATGGATACAGTTATTGATGTCCAAGTTAAATGACAGTTGTGTAGGTGACATGAGAGCTTGCCAGAAAGGAGCTGTCTTGAATTGTAGCTATTCACCTTAAGCTTTTGTTTTAAAAATAAACTTTAAGCCTTGAAATGCACTTGCCTAATAACATTGTCATTTTAAATCTTAAATAATACTTTGCAAGAGGGCAGATTCCAAAGGGTGCAACTTTTTGTCTAATTTTAAGCTTCTCTAACCTTTTGTTTGTAGGATGATCCTCATGATCACTCATTTGGGCCAATAGCTACTAGTGGGAGCAATCTTTATGATGCCATAAGGATGGGAGCAGGCTCGAGTATCATTGAAAACCTTCAGTCGCAGCTAAAGCTAAGAGAAGGAGAGATTTCACATCTACAGGTACTGTAGTTCATCTCATAACCAAGCACAGCATTTATAAGTGTAAATACTAATGCAATTGATATTATATTCAAATTTTATATTCAATATAAAATATATGCAATCAATTTTATATTCAAAAAGCTTGTTCCATCTCCTCAGAGCAGAGTGCATTCACTCTTCCCCTTTCATGACAATTCTACTAACCAGGATAGCCACTGGAGGTATGTGTAGGGATGAGCAAGAGGATTTGTTGCTTCCTTTGTTTTGGCAGGAACCTATCCAGAAAAATGAAATTGTTTATCTGAAAAGGAAAACAAACAAAAAACAAACCCCTGATCAGATTTGAGAAGAAAAAATTGAGTGTGCTTCTGGGGTGTGCTGTTTCAGTCTGGCTTAAGAAAAAGCCTTAATTACTGTATCAAAGTATTTGTTTTATAAATATGGTAATTTATTTCCTCCTGCTAATTGTTAAAAGTGTTTACCTTAGCTGGAAATCGCAAACCTTGAGAAAACTCGATCAATAATGGCAGAAGAACTGGTTAAATTAACAAATCAAAATGATGAACTTGAAGAAAAAGTGAAGGAAATACCAAAATTACGTACGCAGTTGAAGGTAAGTGTATTTCTGTTGTAAATCTGATGTAAAATTGACATATTTGAGGGTTTTTTTAGGAATGTCTCTGTCAGTTTAGGATTATATTAGAATCTTAAAAAAAAATCCCTAGTCATAAATGACTGAAGAGCCTGGTTTCAGTTTGTTTGGGTTTTTTTATGTAGTAGAATCTGAAAATGCTTACTTCATGACTAGGTAATCACTTCAAAATACAGTTGTTAGAAATCTGTGTGTAAGATTCCATGCTAAATCAGGGAGAGAACATTTTTTTTGTTTCTCTCATTTAAGACACTTTTCTGTCAGTATTTTTAGTAAAGGGGTGTTTTGATAAATGACATGATTTATGAGAATCTGATGCAGAAGCTGAGTGAGTGTGCGGTAGATATACAGGTAACAGGACAAATATTTTAATCCTCTGAATGTTTAAGAACTTAAATAAAAATGTTGGAAATAGTTTTGGAATAATTTTGGAAATCATCCTTTGTTCATTAAATACAAAATGTTAAATTTCCTCATGAAACATTTCACAAATTGTAGTCATTCCTGTAGTAATAATTCTAGTGCAGTTTGCTAACTGCTTTTTAATGCTTATAGCAGTTGAACTTCAAGGTGTTTCAGTACATCCTCTGAAGCCAGCACTAATTCTCTGTAGTTGAGGATCTTTGTCTTTGGAATATCTTCCTTTCATATGTACAGTATGAATCTAGCCATATGCAGAGAGTCAAAGTTATGAAGTATTTTTGAAGAGTTTGCTCTGTGCTTCATTGTAAAGTAGTTATCCTTTGATAAAATAATGCTGCACTTATTTTCCTGAGTTGTGTAAAACTCTCTCCTAGCAGCATTTTTTTAAGTTGAAAAGCAGTCAGATGACAAATTACATGTCCTTGCAGGATTTGGATCAAAGATACAATACAATCCTTCAGATGTATGGAGAGAAAGCAGAAGAAGCTGAGGAACTCCGACTGGATCTTGAAGATGTGAAAAACATGTACAAAACTCAGATAGATGAACTTTTGAAACAAAGACAAAATTAATTCCT